TGACCAATAATATGTATATACCTGCACGTCCCCAACGTAAGCATCCATTTCTGTGTGGGTGATTTTCTTCTTTATTGGAATCTCACCCCAAAGGCAGATTCTTGGCCTAGCTGGGGATGTCTGTGGGCTTCTTGTTGTAATATTTGCTCCAGTCCCCAAGCAACTCTCCAGAAAAAGGATCTTTTCATATGGAAAGTTTCAATAAGATCACATTTCAATAAAAATTATAAGAAATATTATAATTGAAAAAATCCTTACCCCAATGGGAAGCAAGAAACCAGTATAGTACATGGTTGATGAGGCCCCTCTTCCAATTGATTTGGCCTTAGCAGCTAGGTCTTTCCTCAGTGACCCCAAGGACTCCATAAATTCCCAGGTTCCCCATGGGAAACCTAGAACTGCTGTCCACTGTGCAATCATGCCCAGAATCCATTCTGGAATTGCAGACTTGTCTCGATCAGCAGGACCCAAGAGAACAACAACCACAAACAAAAGTGCTGCCATTTTCACAGCAACCATCTCCTGGCCTTCTTTCTTCTTTTCCATGTCCAGTCCTTTACAAATTTCCAAGAAACGCTGCACAACCATCTTGTATGTGACTGCAGCAGATTTCTTTCCCTTCTTTGCTGAAGGAAAGTGAGCACGAATGAAATCATTCTTTGCAGAGGTTAATTCCTTAGAATTTTCAAAGCTGGCGTTAAGGTGAGAGCAGTTGAGGCCGCTAATGAGTGAAAACTCCCTCAAGGAGTACCTGACAGGAACTCCTTTGAAAACGAACCACATCTCTTCTTTCCTCTTTATTTTGGCTTCCCTCGCAATGAGTTGCCATAGGAACATAGGAGGAGGAATACACTCAACATCCAAAAAATGAGAAAAAGGGGTGCTCTCCCTAAACAAATCAAGAACTTCTGGATGATCTCCAAGTCCTTCGCCCATCAGATTCTAGAACTCCCCCAAAGAAGATTTCAGGGTTAACTTCATTCCAGGTATTTTATCAATATCAATGGTTCAAGCCAATGCTGGAACCTAGAATTAAAATCAAGAACTAATCAAAAAATAGATTCGACTGCATTCGATTGTTAACCAATTACTGTAACATTATATTGATTATTTCCATGGTCGAATAACTTGTTCTGTTTCTGAATGTTTCAAAAAAACAAACAAAATACTTTAAATGTTATATTTTAGTGTACATGCAATGCACCTCAATTTCCGAAGCATCCAGGAACGATTGACCCTCCACTGATGGAGTTACCTCAGGAGAAATCTGACACCAATCCCAAATATTTCAAAATAAAACAAAAATTAGTTAATTTTAAGTAAGAATTATTTGAAAATACCTGGTTTTCATTCTCCATCTCCTCCCTTTGTGTTTGGGTTAGAATTCGTCTTCTCTTGTACTGGAACCCGCTACTTGCTCCGGTGTTCTCCATGGCAAAGAGATGTGTGGTAGTTCTTGAAGGTATCCGACGACAGTAAGCAATGTAGAACGAAGAGCAGAAGAGTTTCGATTGATGAAGGCGTATCGTTTCCGAAGACTGGTCGGGGGATTAAGGAGGGGTTGGCGCTTCAAACGACGCCGTTTGGCCTTTCTAAAAATATCGTGACGCTTCGAAGGCAACCTAACGGCTGGTCGTTAATTTTAATATTTCCGTTTAATTTTTGAAGTAACGGTAATAAACAGTGACGTTTTGTTTCTTGGTTGGAAGGGCCTTTCTGTCATTTCCCCTCATTTTACGCAAGTAGAGCGGACGCGCCTCACGTGAATCTCTGTTAGATCTAGGAGGGCATTCTCATAAATTCCAATCTTTTTCTGCCCTTTTCCATAAATTCTTCGAAAAAAAGCTACGCTTCTCCCAAATCCCAAGCGTAGGAAACGAAGAAGAAGGCGCAAGAGACGTGAATCCAGCGCGAGAGATACAATTCTTCTCATATTCAAACTCTTCTACTTCAATTATAAAAAGAGGAGACCAGATCGGGAAAGGGGGAGACGGATAGAGACGAGAGAACATATCAGAGCAGAGCAGGTGCCGACCTAGGGTTCCGACCCTAGGTCCGGCGACGGCAATTGCACAGCGGTGACGCAACGGGAAGTCTGGACGGCGACGGCAAGGCGAGATCGATGCTTCGGTGATTGGGAACTCCCCCGACTCCTAGCTTCTGTGCACTGTTCGGACGAACACAGAAACTCAGGGGAGCAATTTTCTCCTTTTTAATTTCAATCTTTAATTAAAACTTTCCAATTTATAAGTTTCTCAATTTATGAATTTGATTGTCAGTATTAAATATGTTTATTTTCAATTCCATGTTTGTTGAATGTTTAAGTTATATTATAAGTGTTGAATTGTTTGTGTGTTAGTGTTGAATTGCTCAAATACGATTTATTGATTTATTATTGTCTCTAAAATTATAAAATCTTCTTAGGCCAAATTGTTTGATGAAAAAGATTGAATCTTTGTTTGTTGAATTAATTTGACTTTGAATGAATTTTAGCTTTATACTACTGTTAAATCTAAACTCGAAAATGGTGTTTGAAAACTAGTCTTTGTTTAAACTTGGATTAGATCAATTTAGGACGGCCGCCTAAACTCTGATTCCAATTGACAGTTTTAAGATCTTGAGTACGTTTATAGCTAAAAGTTTCAAAACACAAGTGTCACCTGGTTAATACATAATTGGCTCCCACCCAATTTTTATTAATCGGAGTTTTCAAGCTGGCTATGTTAAATAGATATAGTCTACTGCATAGTTGTTAAGTGATGTTTTCCAAAGAACTTAATGCTCTATTTTTAATTAAATCTGGGGGCAGGTCCTTGGGTTGTTAAGAATAGTAGGGTCTAGAGTTAAGGCAGGTCTTAACATAGGCTATATTAGGGAGAATAGGGAAGAACCGCAGGTGGATCTCTTCTTCAGCTTAACCTTAAGTTTAATTAGCAGTTTAGTTTCAGGATTAAGACATAATTAATTGATTAATCAGATTTGTTCAATTTATTTTCTATTAAAAACTATAAGTATTTTCAAAATGGTTTAAGTTAATTATTATTGTCTATGTTATTATAAAGTTTATTGTGTGATTGTTTTTGTGTGTTGGTTTCTCCCTGAGTGTCTTCTGAGTTCGAGTTGCTGTTGTGGTTTCATTTCGTATCTCTTATCTGTTATCCTTATCTTTATTTTATTTGCATTTTTATCTTTTTAGAATTATCATTCAAACTCTCCATATCTCTTAGTTTTAGTTTTAGATTTTCGTTAGTTTTTATTCAATAAAAGTGACAAGTAAACTGATTTTCATAGTCTAAAAAGTATCTTTCCTCGTGGGATCGACCCTTACTTGCCCTATCTATATGTTTTGATGAATATTGAATCATAAAGGGGGTTAAAAATTAAGGAAATAATAAATTAATTTGTAGGTGCTACGACACGCCCAACAAATATACACCATAGATATAATAATTATTTCAGTTACACTAAAATATACTTCATATATGAATATCAAATGTTAGTTTTATTTAAGTCATGATCAGAGTTGATCAACTCGATGTAGTAAAAGATCAAAGGTTTAGAAACTCAAATTACAGGTAGCAATAAAAATGTATTTTAAAAGTAGGTTTAGATTGAGTTTGTCAATGTATTTTAAAAATAATTTTTCTGACGTCTAATAATTAAGGATTACTTTCTCAATTTTCTATTTAATTTGTTTCTGAAGTTTATTATTTTTCATTTTTAAGAATATGAATAATAAAATTAATAATAATAATAAAATAATAGTAATAACAATAATAATAATAAATTTTGATTGGATCTGATCTGATTGGATCTCATCTGATTTGATTCGATCTGATCTGGTCTATTCTGATCAGATTAGATCTAATCTGGTCTGGTCTTATCTAATTTTAATAAGAATAAGAAAAAGTAGAAAAAATAAGTTGAACAGAACGGGGCCTAAAACCATTACTCTATTAGGCATTTTTAAATTTAACCGAGTTTTCTATAAAAAAATATTAACCATACTTTTAATAAAAAAATAGAATGAAAAAATGTATTAGACGAAGGCAACAAGTTAACGGTAGTTAGTTAACAATTTTAATGAATTAGAGAAGACAAGGTCAATTGCAATTTTTGGTAATTAAAATTACGTGGAGGGATTAGTGGATTACTAGATGAGATGGTCATATGTCCACATGGCATCAATTTAATGGAGGGGCATGCATGTCCTCTTATTTGCTTGGGCATCCTAGAAACTCCCTTCTATTTATACTCCCAACCAACAATCTTTCAAAATCCATGTTTTATAAGAATCCTACATAATCTATCAATTTTTTAATACCATTAAATTTAGAAAGATTTTTTAAAATCTGAATTAAATACATGTAGATTTCAAATGATTTTTTAAAATCAATAATCATTTGAAAATATTCATAATAGGTAAAAGAAAGTTTCACAAGTAATATCGTCAAAACGAAGAAACGAAAAAACTAGCTTAAAAATATGTAAGTAAGACCTACTTATTTGTTCTGACTTATAAGGTACTTATAAGTCACCTTATAAACACGCAAAAACATGCCATCTACTGACTTATAAGTTTAAAACAACTTATAAGCAGTTTTGACCAGCTTATAAGCACAGAAAATGTAATACCTTGTATTAAGATGGGAATGGGAAAGAGCTCAAAAGGATTGATAGCACTACTCAAACCAACAAGGTGCATCTTCTTTTCGAGATCTCATCACCTAGAAACTTCATAGTTAAGTTTTTTAGGGTGGGGGCCAAGGTGTTACAAATGGTATCAGAGCAACCCTGCGACCATGACAGGCCAAAATGAGCTTAGTTCACCTAGCGGGAAAGATCTAAGGGTTTAAAAAAGGATGCAACAAGGACGTTGCATTCGTAAGTGGGGGTGAATGTAATACCCCATGTTAAGATTAGAAAGGGAAAGAGCTCAAAAGGATTGATAGTACTTCTCATACCAACAAGGTGCATCTTCCTTTCGAGAGTTATTCACCTAGAAACTCTAAAGTTAAGTGTGCTTGGCTTGGAGCAATTCTAGGATGGATGACCCCCTAGGAAGTTTTCTTTGGGCACTCACAAGTGAGGACAAAGTGTGCGGGAAAGACTTGTGTTGGTTTGTGCGCCGAGGTGTTACAGAAAAACACTCATTTAAGAGTGTGGTTCCCCTCTTCTCTTTATAGAGATGTAATTTCTCTTCTCTTCCCCTTACATTCTAATTTTTTTAATATTATTTTTTACACCTAATTTAATTTAAATTACTTTGATTTAATTTACTTAACCTAAAATTTGAATTAAACATTCCACTAAAATTAAGTGAAAAATAAATAAAATTAAAACATAATTGAAAATAAGAATAGAACATTAAAAATATCTAAACACCCCTCCTTGTATCGTTGCCTGCATTTCCAAGTCACATCTTTGATATCTTGCCTCTTATTATCATCAACACCGCACGCTCCATCAGACCAAAATTCTCAACATCAATGGTCATGATTTTTTTGAAGTCTTCTTGTTGGTCTCTGACACTCGAGCTCAATTTTCTCCGCATTTGGTCGACATTCGAGCTCAAGCTTCTCTCCTACCGCTTGGTACTAGATCCAGAGCTTCTTTGATTGTAATTTAGTAAAAGTGGACAATGTAGTGGTGAGATGCTCAAACTGTTAGAATAAAGGCCCAACGCTAGAGGGGGGGTGAATAGCGTTTAAAACAAAATCGCAGGAAATTAAAAACGAGTGCGTTAAAGTAAAGAGCGTAAGGAAGGAGCACACCGAATTTTATCCTGGTTCACCACACCGTGTGGCTAATCCAGCCCCCGGAGAGACTCTCTCGAGCTACACTAACTCCGTTAAGCTTAAGGGTGCTTAACAAACCGATACAACTTGAGAACCCGAGTCACACGAGCCTCAACACCTTTGCTCGGAGATACCGCACTCCAAGACTTCTCACGAAGGAACAAAGAACTTCTTTCGAGTTTACAACAAGGGAACAACCTCCCTTAAAGTGTATGAAAACACTTAAACACTCAGGAATAAAACTCTCACAAAGAGTAGATATGAATGAACTAGTAAACGCTCAAGAACACGACAATTTCTTCAAGAATTGGCTCTCAAATAGCTAAGAAAAATAGGAATGATTATGCAATGAAAGAGTATTGAAATGTTGAAGAATTGTGTATAAAATGAGAGGATTTGGGTTCCATTTTATAGCCCAAAATGGGATAAAACCGTTGCTAGAATTTCCAACAGGATGAAGACAAATTTTTCAGGGACACATGCTGATAGTCGATTATCCAAGCTTGATAATCGATTATCAAAAGATTCCTTGTCCAAAAATTTAAAATTCTATCCGTTGGAGGACAACGGTAACCCAGACAATCGATTGTCAACAAGTGATAATCGATTATTGGTCCTCTCAGAAGATTCTGGGTTTTGGCTGCAAAGACTGATAATCGATTATTGCAAAAGTGATAATCGATTATTGAGTGCTTCAGAACTTTGGAAGTTCAAAGTTGCAGGGGCTGATAGTCGATTGTCACTAAGGTGATAATCGATTATCACCCAGCTAAAGTCTAGCCAGCTGAAACCCGTTTTGAAAAACCGAGGTCCAAAAACAAAGTGTTCCCAAAAGTAAAAACCAAGTTTGAAAAACATTGTATATGGTATAAAATAGTGAAACCAAGACTTGTTTGGTAAAAACCAAGTCTTCAAGGTCGTAAATCACGTGTGTACGGTTTTGACCGTTTCTCACGTGTTAGACCGATTGACCAAGATACAAAAGTGGTTTTTATGAAATAGTTATTTGGGAACCTTTTAAATATGCTCAGAGATAAAAACAAGGTTTAAAACATAGAAAAACACCGAGTTGGTTCGGGCGCCAAAAAACCGAACGCCGAACACCGTATGCCGACTTAGGTGATTTAGGTTCTGAGCAAGGACCAGGGATTTTAACAATAAAAAAAATTTATCAAAAATGTTTATTTTGATGCACAAAAATATTTTATGATTTTGTAAAATTATTTTGACTCTTTGAGAACCGAGACTTGAATTGATTGTCGGTTTTGATCACAAAAGACCGACTCGACTAAGTCTTCAATTCTTGATCTTGTCCTTGAGTCTTTTTAGGTCTTGTTCCATGCCATTCTTCACGCCTTGAGTTATTCAACGAAACTCTTCATATCCACGGCGGTTTGGCAATTATCAAAACCTGTCAGAAATGAACACGACTTTAGTTAAACATACAAAGTGTGTTCCAACAATTTCCTCCTTTTTGATAATGGCAAACAAGACGGGGATATGCATAGGGTTTTGATATTTTTGAAAAAAAATTCCCCCTTAATAAAATTCCCCCTGAAAATATGCATAGCCCTTATCTTCCCCCTTTTCACATTAACAAAAAGATTTAATAACAAAAACCATAAAGATTTTTATTAATTGATTAAGGGAAATAAAGGAGTACATAAAGGAAGCAAATTTAAAAAGCATAATATATAAAGAAGAGATGATTGGAATGAGTAAAAAATGGAGTAGATGTCACTAATTTATAGTGGAAGAGGCTTAGAGATCCGTTGGGGTTGTCAAACAAGGATTAAATGCTCTGCCAACGTCTCTGCAACGGTCAGATTTTTGAAAAATCACCGTTGTAAATCGATTTACACTCCCTGTAAATCGATTATTTGAAACCTCTGATTCTCCGCTAAATGATCTGCGGTCTTCAATAGTCGATTTTCACGTTTGTGTAAATCGATTGTTGGAGTTTCCAGCTGAGTTGCCTCAACCTTCTGTAGGGTCTGATAATCGATTATCCCAATGATGATAATTGATTGTTGAGGTTTGCGCCTGTTTTGCTCCAAACTTCTGCGGATAGTGATAATCGATTATCTCAAGGTTGTAAATCGATTTACACTCAG